CTTTATCTCTTCCTAGATCCATCCAGCTTCCTGATTTCCTAGCTCATGTCTCTTCTTGTTTCAATTCAGTAACCCTAGTCCAGATACTCCTCAGCGTGGGCCATCCACTGGACTGTGATCAACCTACCAGGAGTCATACCCTTCCTTAAAGGAAATCTTTCCCTTCTCCTGAAGCCATCAACGGTTTGTAGCTCCTCATTTAGGGATGGGAAATGCTTTCCACACACCATGCTAGGGTGCTGGCTCTCTTGGGCTTCAACAGGCAGCCACAGCTGCTGTGAGATCACAAGTATGGTTCAGTCATGTTAGGAGAACTCTGCTTTGCTCCAGTCCTCCGCAACCTCTGGCTCTTCCAATCTTTCTGCCCCCTTTTCTATGAAGTCCCTAAACCTTGGTGAGAAAATATGATATAATATATTGATATTATATATAATATATAATCCTTCTATTTACATCTCCATTTTTCCACTTGTCTTCTCCTCAATTGGGGTTTATTACCTTAAGCTAAATGCTGTCTTCTTCCTAAAGAGGTCCGTAAAACTGAAAACGACTAAGGAGTGAAGAAGTAAACATTATCAGCCTGTGAGAATAGATTGCTGTGGTTTTCTTCCACACAGAATTATCCCACGTGCCTGAGAAAGGATAAAATTGCTCTTAGCAGGGAGGAAAGGCCAGAGGATACATTTCACAATTTTGTTAAGTAAGCTTTGTCAGTTAATCATTTATTAGGTCCTAAAACCCTTCTGAGAAGAAAGTGAAGAAAATGGTTTAGTAGTTGCTGCAAGAATGGAGATAAGGCTGGGTCACTACACACCCTCTGCTACACCCTAATCTTATGCAATCTCAGTTTACACAGAAAATATAATCATTAGAGCATCTCTCAATGCTTACACTGTCTTCTGTCTTGCTGTGGCTTTTAGATAGTTTGTTTATAGGACTTTGACATTCACGAGTTGACTTTTCCCCTTAAAAGTACACTGGGTTCATCTGACATGACCAGCTTCTCCAAGTTGATTTGTTTCCTAAATATTAAACTTATTAAAAATATCCCAGCTCCGGAAGACACAGAGCTATCAGCAGACATGGTTGGCTGACTTTCCGTGTATACAGTTGTCTCTACTAACTTTGCAGCTTCCGGTACACAGCTTCTAAGTTCCAGGAATCGCTGGAAACCCACCCAACTGAGACAAACACTGGGTTTTCTCAGAAAAGCGATCTTAACTTTGGGTCTTAGTTCTTTCTTCTAAGGAAGAAAAATCATTAAATACAGCACAATGCTTTGATTAAGAAATACTTTCTCAAGACTTTTTTATTAAAAACAAAGCAATAATAAATGACAAGAAGAGTCAGGGAAGGACAGAGGGCTCCAGTTACAAACCACCCATGCTCATAATGAAATGTTTGTGCCTCTACCAACTCTGAATGCTTGTAAAATTCCAAATATATAATTCGGGTTGGGTGTGGTGGATCATGCTCAGTCCCAGCACTTGAGAAGCTGAGACAGGAGGACTGCCACAAGCTGAGGATAGCCTGGGCTACAGAATAAGCTGCAAGCCAACTGGAGCGTGAGATCCCCATCTCAAAACAAAATCCAAATCCCTGTCAAGGAAGAGAAGTAAGGTTGGCCAAATTGTGGAAACATTTGTTCTACAAAATATTTTATGTGTGTCTCTTGTGGAAACAAAATGTGAAACAGTGTAGACAAGATCCCTGCTCTTACAAGATAGGAGAGGGTAGGCACCTGTAGGCAGGGAATCACAGAGTATGAGAAACGTCAGATAGGCAGGGGTGGGGGTGGGGGTGGAGGTACTCATAAAGAGAAAACAGTTCGTGTAGGGAAAGGTGACGTCGAATAGCACAGTGAGTGGGGCTGGAGCTTCGTGAGTTCTGACCCTGGTTTCACTGGTGCCTTTCTATAATAATAAGAATAACCCTAGGAAATTTATGCAATCTCTCTGACCCTGCTTCATCAATAATGATACTGTTGAATGAGCACTGATGAAATGCATGTCACAGACCTGGCAGTTGCGGCAAATGGCAAGCATCCAGTAAATGTTAGCTAAAATGGTATTAATGGTGACAGCCAGCCAAGGACAGCCAAGTACAGGGAAGAAGAGGAAGAGGTGTGTTCCGGATGAAGGAAAACTGTGTGTCCAGGAAGGAGGTCCTATGAATGAAAGAACTGAGTCTGAGCCAAGTGTTGGGGGGGGGGGGGTGCTTTGTTAAGGAAGACAATGCAGAGATGAAGCTAACTCTGGAAAGGCAAGCAGAGCCCAACCCAGCAGGTGCCCCTCTAGAACTTTGTTCAGAGGAGAGTCAAATTTGTGTTGACCACCTTGGCCTTGGTGTGGAAATGTTATAGAGAGCAAAGTAACTGGGGACAGGAATATCATGATGAGATTTTTTTAAAACAACTTTTTGGCTGCTGTAGATCTCTCTCTTTCTCCCTCGCTCTCTCTCTCTCTCACACACACACACACACACTCAAAATGTATCACTGCAGTCATCATTAGCTTGTCTGTTTAGCATTTCATTGTGACTGACTGACTGATGGATTCACTCATTCCTTCAATAAGCATCTATACCCAAAGCTCAATGTTTCTTCCATCCATCCATCCATCCATCCATCCATCCATCCATCCATCTATCCATCCAATGAGCATCAATACATGAAATTACTATGAGCTTGTCTGTTCAGCTTTTCATTCATTCATTCATTCATTCATTCATTCATTATCAGCCCATGACGTTCACTATTTTTTTTTCATCCATCCATTTACTCACTTAGCCATTCCTCAGACATCAACGCTGTGAGAGTAGCAGGCTGTGCTGTGAGATGGTAGTGGGCACCAGCCTGCAGAGCCCTGTTCTCCAGGAACACTCCACACAACCCTAACTGCCCATCTCCTCTCCAGCTAGGAAGCGCCGTAGCCTAGCGACCCCAGTCACATGCAGGAGCAAAGGTGCTTTGCTGAGAGGTCATGGCAGTGCTACCGAACACACTAAGACGGAGCCCAAAGCATGGGGGTGGCTTGCCTTTACCCTGGGAAACAGAAGCCTCACTAAGGATGTTACTGTGTAGCTGACTACTTCCTATTCATGGAACATACAGAAACAGCCAACATTTCCTAAACACCTGCCTGTGCATTTCCGGTGGGTTTACCTATTTACCACAACTTTATGAAATAGGTGTTGGTATGCCCAGGTCAGAGTGAGAAAAATTAGTCATGTCCCCAGAGACACGGAATTAAAGCAATAAAGCTGAGACCCAGCCTGAAGTTCTTTATCTCTACTCCATGTGACCTCTGTAGCCAGGGCTGTAGCACAGTAGAAGAATGATTACCTAATGGGCAAGGTCCTGGGTCCAGTGCCCTACACAGAAGAAAACAAGAGTTCTATGTGACCTTTGGCAAGTGTGGGTGCTGAGCTGACTGCAGAGTGGAGACAAATTCCAACATTTAAAATATGGAAATCTCACCAGGAGAGAGACCACAGATAGCTCTTGTACTGGGAAAACCAAACTTGGAAAGTTAATCACGTGAGTAATATCTTATTTGTGTTTTAAGCCAAACGGTGACGGTCAAGGGAAGCAATGAAGACTCCTATCGAATGATCGAATGAGAACAACGTTGAGAGTTTTGACGCCTGCATTTACCGTCTGAAGGACTGCCAGTTCAAATGGTGAGAAGGACAACAGAAGTTATCACCAAGGCTAGGTTCATACTAGGTTGTGAGAGAGCGAGAGCCTTTTGTTCAGGTCAGTCTGGAAAGGTGACAGAAAGAGAGTGACTGGGCCTACTACTCTTGGTGTGTGGGGAGAAACGCTGATTACCTGAACGACAAATAGGTGGACTTTGATTATACTCGGACTCAGAAGGGTTTTCACCCAGAAAGCAGAACAAATGTGGAATAAGCAGATTTATTTCAGAAGCTTGAGCAACTATTTCCAATATGACAGAAAGGAGGGGGGAAAATCCCTCCAGATATAAGAAACCACCTGCATCTTGTTACACTCACTGCTGGGTGCCATGAGGAGAATCCTGAGCCTGGGCTCTTCCCAGGCAGGGAGAAGGCTCCCAGGCCAGATGGCATTTTAAAATCTAATCTCGCTCTGTGTGTCTCTCCCCCACTAACCTACATTATTTTTAAAGCAGTCACAGCCATTTCCACAAGATGCAATAATTTGTAGGCACTACTCTGTGCTCCCTTGAAGAACACAAAAACAGTCTTAATTGCTGAGGGGTGGGGAGGAGAACGAGGAAGAGGAAGAGGAGGAAGAAGAAGAAGAAGAAGAAGAAGAAGAAGAAGAAGAAGAAGAAGAAGAAGAAGAAGAAGAAGAAGAAGAAGAAGAAGAAGAAAACTTGTAACAAATATCACCAGTGCTAATGAAATACACATGCCCAACTCCCCGCAGCAAGCACAGCTTTTCAAACCCGACCCATGCACACACACATTTAAACACAGCTCACCAATAAAACGTTAAATGCATTCGCTTGTCAGGCGCCCTCTTCAAGACTCCCTGGCCACCACTGAAAAGTAACTTGGACGCCCCAGGTCACTGGGCACAGCCGCTGGCTGATATCACCTGGCCCGCCCTTGCCAGGCCGGCCCCTCAAGACATGGGGGACTCCCAGCCTCCACCTGCCCTCCTGAAGGACCCTCCTCTGTCCTCACTGGCCAGGAAACAGAGTAGCATTGTCTTCTTCGGCGCCTTGTAATTTGCAAGACACAAATGCTGGCGAGACGGGTCCCCAGCCCAGCCACCTGCCCGCGAATCCTCGCCACCACACTCCAGTCGCTTCGAAGGCTCCCCGACAGCCAGGAGGTGTGAACAATGAACTTGTCTGGCTAGGATCTCCCACGCCCAGCCACACCGCCCCGAGTCCCGCAGTGAGAAGTTAGGAACTGAGCCCCGTGGGGTCGATTCCACGCGCGAAAGGGCCCACGCGCGTCCTCCCGGCCGCGCCCCTCGCGTCGCCTGCCCGGGGCTGGCCCATTACCTCCTTCCTGCGGCTGGGCGCCCCGGGGCGGGTGATGAGGGCGGTCTCCTCGCACACCACGGCCACGTCCTCCACGAACACGCAGTCGGGCAGGCTCTCGTCGGCCGGCAGCTGCACCACCTGCAAGCCCAGCTTGCTGCCCAGCACGCCCACGTAGAGCTGGTGCTGGCGCTCCACGCGAGCGAAATCCACCTCCTCGCCCTGGGAGCGCCTGAGCGCGTGGCGGCACAGGGACTCGGGCGGAGCCCGCACCACGGCGTGGGTGGCCCGGCCGAAGGCGGCGGGGTGGCCGAGGCCGGCCATGGCTCACGCGGGGAGACGGCGGCGGCGGGGGAGGCTCTCCTCCCGAGAGCGGCGCGCGCCCAGCCTGCGAGCCTGCGAGCCTGCGAGCGCCCGGCGGCTCCTCTTGGCAGCCGATGAATGTGCTGCTGCGGGAGCCCGGCTCGCGCCCGGAGCCCTGCCTGCGCCACTGAGCATGCCCAGAGCTCGGGGCGCCGGCCCAGCGCCCGCGCGCCTACTCCCTGCGCTCCCCGCAGCTGCTGCGGCCCGGCCTGGGTCAGTGGGGATGCGGAGGCCGAGGACTTCTCAGCAATGGCTCCCTCCCGGGACCTACGTGTGTTTATCCCACTGCAGGTGCAAGCCTCGCATGGTCCCCATTAGGGCTTGGAAATCCTCCAGGAGTGCTGCACTGGCCCTGCTGCAGAGGACTTAATGGTCAGGGGACCAGGCGAGGGGCGATTGTAGATAAACTTTCCCACTCTCATCTTCCCTCATTACCCAGTTCATGGAACCTGGGTGCCCAGCGTGGCACCTTGTCTTCACCCATATTACCTTCACTTTCTTCAGATTGACCTTTTGCCCCGAGTGAAGCTCGATATTGCACAAAGAACGCATTTTTCCCACCCACGAGAAAGTGTAATCCAAGAGACAGACAGACACACAGATACAATACATATCTATAAACCTCTTCTCCGAAAACAACAAAAAACACAAACCACTGATATTTTAAGCCCACGAGGCAATTAAAAGTGGGAGAAAAGCCTAGTGTCTCTTCCCTCTTGTTTTTCTCCTTCACTGCACGTGTCACTCCTTCAAGCAGTTCCTCCCTAAACCAGCATTCCAACATACCTAGCCTATCTCATCCCGCCTCAAGGCCGACGGCTCGAGAGAAGCCGAGGAACGTTACTGTGGGCTTTAATGACATCCTATTCCAGAAAGTCACTGTTAAAATAAATCCGTGATCACCTTGAATGCCAGGAACAGCAGAGCTTGGGAGACACATCACCCCTGATGGGCTTACAGCACCTCCTCCAAGCGGAACAGCCATCTCACCCAGTCCCCACCAACCAGGACAGATGACCTGTGCAAACCTCTCCCCCCTCCCCCAACCCTTCCTCCAGATAAAGCTCTTCTCAGGACTCCGAAGACGGACTGGGAGGTCTCTGAACCATCTGTACTTATAATGAAGCCATGCTGATTTAAGTCTTTCTCCTCTTGGGAACTCCCAGGGCTGGGGACTTTTGCTCTAAAGCTCAGGCAACATAAAAACTGACCCTACCATACTTTTCCCGATGCAATCAGTTCTGAAGAAAATGTGATGGCAATGGGTTTGTCTCCAGAGCCTCCAGAGCTAGAAGCAAGCGTACTGTCCCTACGATAGAAACTTCCTTAACCTTGGGAAGGAGATTCCTTCCAGCCTCGCCCTTCCTGTGGGCACACACGCTGAGGAATTCCTGTTACTTGTTGACCTTCCCTCTTCTTTGCCGCTCAAGAGTCTGTCCTTTGTTTCAGGGAGACACAAAGCCTGTACTTTTTCCTCTTTCGCACATCACAGTTTAAATAAGCCAGAGGGTATGCTCTCCTCAAGGGGCTGCCTTCAAAATCCAGGCTACACCTCCGAAATAATCCAAGGCAATAAACTTCTCCCTCCTGTTTTGTAACACACTACTAATTTAAAGATTGTTTTGATTATTAAAGATTCTATCTGAACCAGGTGCGGTGGCTTGCACGTGTAATCCAAGTATTAGGGAGGCAGGGTAGGCTTGAGTCATGGTCTACATGAGTTCCCGTCCAGTAGGGTACACATCAGAAGATCTTGTCCCAGGTAAGCCACATATAATTACATGTATACACATATATACATATACACAAATGTGTCTATATATTTATACAAACACATATAATTTGAATGTGGCCATAGCATCCCTCTTACTTGATTTTTTTTATCTACTGTTTTGAAATCCAGCTGGGACATCCAGTATATGCACCCATAACTTTTTGCTTTTATATTTTCACCATGTTTAACAAAAGAAGGTGTAGTCCATGTTTGAGGATCTACAATGGTTAAGAAGTTTTTCAATTTGAGCTTAAATCCCCTTGGTCTCAATTCTGCCTCCCCATGAAAGGGCCAGGAGGTCCTTTCTTTCACAAGACAGCATTCAAATATTTGAAGGCAACTCTGTTATCTCTGCCATACATCCTGACCCCAGCACTCTTGAAGCCTGACCCAGCAGAAAGCTGCTGCTGATTTGGTTTCAAAGTCCCTTTAACATCCTAGTGTTCTTCCTTTTGATGAAAACCAACTTGGCCATATCCCTTCTGAGGCATGGTATTCAGACAAGAGATGATCGTTCTAACTGACAGGCACAACGGTAGTTTAATCCAGGGGGTATTCTCTGCTCAAGGACACTATCTTCAAAATCCAGGCTGCACCTAAAATAATCCAAGGAACAGCCTTCTCCCCCTCCCCACCCCATGTTCTGTAACATAAAACTAATTTAAAGCTCATTTTGCTCGTTGAATATTATATTTGAACCAGGTGTGGTGGCTTGCACCTACACTCCAAGTACTATCACTTGTGACAGGTGTGCCCGAGACAGGTGCACCCGAGACAGGTGCTAGGCTGTTAATCCTGCATTCATTTTCCCGGTGGTCTAGTGCCAAGGCCCATTCTCCAGCCATCTTGCTAGAACTCTGATCTTAGCTTTTAGGCAGTCTGGACTTCCAGGAACAAGTTCATCTGGGCCATCCCATAGTGGTTGTCCCAGATGAGCCCAGAGTAGATTGGATGTTCCTTTTCTCTCTTCCTCCAAGGAGGACTTGAGTTTACAGTTGATATAGTACCTTCCAGAGTCCAAAATGAGAGGGCTTCAGTGAAGGACAGTGCTGATTAAAAACTAGAAACAAGGCCTCTAAGACCATCTAGGTTCTTCTTCCAAATCAGAACTCTCCACAGGCCTAGCCTGCCCTGTTAGCGCCAACATACTGCCAGGAATCAGACAATCATGATTAGATGGAAGATGACCACCACTGTTCCACAGGTTCCACTCCTGTGTCTAGGTTACTCAGTTAAAACAGAAGGCGTTGTTTCTCCTCCTGTCCATTGTTTCTATGAACTTTATTCAACACCAAGGTTGTATCTACCTTCACCTGGCTACCGCCTTGACCTTCATTGTTCATGTCTGTACCTGACTGGAGCCTCAACGTTTTTCTATCACTCAGTGCCCTCAGCTGACCTGCGAACAGGGCCTCATGTACCACTGATGATTTGCCTTAGCCTAGGGTATGATTAGAATGTACGGCTCCCCCATAGATAGGTGTTGTCTGTGTTTTCCATACTGAAATTGCAGAGCTTGTTTTTTGCAAATCTAATTTTGTAGTTTATCCTTATTTATTGTCATCTGCTTCATTCCAACTTCTCTAAGTTTGATTCTGTCGTCTTGTACATTATTTATTACTTCTGGTTTGTGCCATCTGAAATATGATAAGCCTGCCTTCTGTCTGCTCTCAGCAGTCAAAAATTGTTAAGATGTGTGTACTGCTGAAAAGAGTAATAAAAACACCCCAAATCCGGTAAATTAGAGTACACATGCCTTAATGCTTTAGCAGTGGAAGGCTGTTCTTAGGAAAATGGACTTTATTGAAGCTAATACATCTATGAGTTCATTTTCCTCATGCATATTTATCAAAAACTCTTGAGGCACAACACCATACATACTTCAGAGCAATGCAAATAGCATAAAATGATCTTTGACCTTGAAACGCTCAGAATCTTACCAGAAAGAAACCCAAGATATGCAGAATTTGAGCTATGATAAGCACACAAGACGGGTATAAACGACAAAGCAGCCTCAGTAGATGAGGAAAGGGCTCTCTTTGTGGCTAGCAGGAAGGGAAGAAAGCTGCTCCAATGTGGATGGACTTGGCCTAGGCCTTGAATAATTTTTCTTTCAGGGTGTGCGTTATTAAAAGAGGGAAGGAGAACGCCAAGGAAAGTGCGTACAAGGTACTAGAGACACATTCAAGTGGACAACAGGTAAAACCACCCAGTGTCACTGATGTAGCTCCAGCTGCTGCAACAATGACAAGAGAACCACCCCAGGTGGCAATATGGTGACCAAGACATAGCTCTTGATCTCTCAGCCTCACACTGGTGTTCCTCACTCTGCAGCTCTTTTCCGAAGCAGCATCAAGGATCCATCTTTTATTTTATTGCTCCAACTCTTCAGCACAAGGTCCCAGATCTTCGAGCTCACCTTCCTCATGCGGAAGACCGTAGGGTAGCGTGTGTGAAAGGTATGATGGGTCCTGGAAGGTGGCACAGTCTTGTGGCCACCTTCCTCTGGCTAACATTCATTCCCGCAGTCATAATAAATGTGGGACAGCCTGGAAAATGGTTTTGTGTGGGTACAGAAAGAAACAGGAGGCTGGGGAAACTGCTGGCTAATGCATGTCCCTGAGCACAGTGGGGAGAACGGGAAACAGGCAGGCTGTTCTCTCATCAGCGAGCAGTGGAGAGACATGTGAGGTCCTGGTGCCAGACTGTGTGGGCGAAAGCGAGGAGTTGCTTCCCTTCCTGCATGATCTTAGACATAACAGCACTCTACCTCAATTCTAGCCTCATTGATACGATGGAAAACTGAAGCCATGGTCAGAATGTTACTTTGAAGGTATTACTAAGCAAAGTACTTTAGAAGTATTTAAATTAGTACCTGCAGCCCAGCAGATGTTCAGTAAATATTACCCATTGTAAGGGTCCAAGAATCTCTGAAGGAAGACCCCAGACTCAAATAGTATGTAAAGCAAAGAGCATTTATTCTGCAGAAACAACCAGCATGCAAGGTTCATGTAAAATGACGACCCCAAAATGAACTCGAAGGCTCTTCTAAAGCCTTTCTGGGCAATCTCAGCTGCGGCTATGGGACATCGACTGGGATTGGCCCGTGCCCATGGAGGGATGTAGTTGTACAATTTTGACTGGCCTTCACTTTGGGGAGAGAGAATTACGCTACAGGGGCTTTTCTTTGTTTGGCTGACCTGGTTTCTGGCTAGATATTGGGCTGTCACTGATTGGCTGCCTGTCTCCTGTGGTCCCCAGGAACGGGTCAAGCAGGAGCTCGGGAAGGGTGGCCGGAACTTTG